CCATCTAACTGTATCTCTGTAGAGGCTCAGGTTTCCTGTAAAAAGAGAATGTCAAATTGTGATGTATAGTCCAAAAAATGTTATCTTTTGATGGCACAGACCAACCCGCTATATTCCAGGTTATAATGGAGAGGGGATCATCTTTTGCAGCTCATCAGGAGATTTGATTTATACAAAGGGAAGTTGTAGGGTTGTTGCAATGGCTTGAGGTGTCATCCCGCATGAAATTGGCCTTCTCTAAATGGAGGGGAGCCCCATCAAAATTCTGTGTAGACTCCTGGGAAATTTGTTTGAGGTACGAAGATTTAGCACCGGCTAACAAGGCTTGCCGTTCCGGAGCCTCTTCTCTAGGTGTAGAGCAGGGGGTTATTAAGTCATGCTCCATTCGGCTTTGAAATGATGGCACTGACGTGAGACCTCTCTCTCAAGAGAGAGATTGATATGTTGCAGAAGGTATCATCGGAAAGTCACATAAGGGTGCTAGCTTCTCCTTCCCTATTGGGGCCTCTACTGACCCCTGTGTATCTTGGTTTCCGCTTTCCATGAACTTATATTCTTGCAAACTCTTGCCCCCTGGGGGACAAGTAAGAGGCTCAATTATAGGGGAAACTAAATCAATAAGCAGTTCAGCCGCATTGTGACCAATAAGGATTTCTTTAGGTTTTCTAACTTGAATAGTATATTATCTTCTTCACTCCTTGGGAGAGCGCCAAAAGCATTAATAAGCCCAGTTTCTGTGCTATTAAATACATCTTCTCCAAATGGTGCTGGCTTACTCTCACTTTCTCCCTCTCCCTTTCCCGGGTTGAGAATGCAGAAGAGACAGCAACCTTGGGAGCTCACATGTTAACAATTAAGGGTTTAACCCTTTCCTCGCAGAAAACTCTGATGGGAGAGATTTGAAAGGAGGCTAGATAAGCCTTCATCTTAAATAGCATCAGTGGTATGGTGGGCTGTTTAAAGGATAGAAATACCTGCTTCCAATTTGGGGCCTCAGAGAGCCACTCCGCAGTATGTAGATCAATCTCCCCCCAGTAACAGTGCAGAAGCTGGCTTAGGGAATTTAGTATAGCACTCTTGGAATTCCAGCGACCATGATTAAGCTTGTTCATGTGGATTCTCAGCACAACCTGATGTGTTTATAGTGAGCGATGTGATTGGTGTAATTGTAAATGGGATGCCTTATTGTCTTCCCATGAAACTTCTCTATTAATATCTCTTCCTCTTGTTGCCTTAGCTGGAGAAGGACTGTTTTTCTGAGTGGGCTGCCACTTTTTAGCAGGCTCTTTATCTGTTTCCCTGGGTCTGTGCTCATTTTCCTCCTTTTTTTCTTCCTTCTCCTGATTATTGGATTTACCCATGTCTGCTGTAAAGACTTCAGTGGGAGTGCCTGTAGTCCAGGGGTTCTCAACCTTGGCAACTTTAAGACTTGTGGACTTCAACTCTCAGAATTCCTCAGCCAGCTTTGCTGAGGAATTCTGAGAGTTGAAGTCCACAAGTCTTAAAGTTGCCAAGGTTGAGAACCCCTGCTGTAGCCCAATACTGCGCTTGGAGCAGAACAGCTATATCTTTTATCAGTGTCTCTATATCATGTTGAATGGTTATTAGTTGTTCAAATATTGAAACTACAGTTTGTGCTGTGAGAAGACATTGCTTCTCCATAAACTCTGTTATATTCTCCCATGGTAAGCTCTCCCCACTCTGAGTTGGATTGTTGTTGTCAACCATCTTAGTCTTTATTTTAGTCTCCATGCCGCCTGTATGTTATTTGTGAAAATAGCTGGCTGTCATTTTGCTCCCCTCCTCCCAGATTGGGAAAGTCCAGTGTCTGCTGTTTTGTCAGATCTCTTTGCAGGTCCTGTTCTAGTCTCTCCGGCTTGTTGGAAATGAAGTGGGGGAGGGAATAGTTTTACTTACAAGTCTCTTGCCAACAAAGTGCTCCTCAATTTTTGGTTGTTTTGCATTCTTTGCTGGTAGGAGAGCTCCTGGGCTGGTGCCATGGCGTTTCCTTCTTTTACCCATGCCTCCGTCCTCCTCCAGTAGCTTCTGTTTCCAATATATACTGGCCTCTCCGGTATATATGCTTTATAAAAAGTCTTTGATTATTATAAAAAGGTCAAGCAAGGTTTAAAACAGGTTTAAAATAGGTTAAAAAGGGTTAAAAATAGGTAAGTTAAAATGCAATGTTAAAAGGGGTTAAAAAGTTAAAATAAAAGAAAATAATAAAAAAAAAGCTTTTGCTTTTACAGCCTTTGCTGCCTGTCCACCATCTTGGCTCCTCCCTGAACCCACCTGGCTCCTTTGAGATAAGAAAAGGTACAAGGCAAGGATGTCCACTGTCTCCATTGTTATTCATTTTCACTCTGAAAGTTTTAAATAGAAATATTAGACAAGATACAGAAATTAAAGGACTGGAAATAAAAGGCGAAACATATAAACTACAAGCATTTGCTGGTGATTTGGTATTTATCTTAGAAGAACCTTTAGAAATGATCCCTAAATTACTGAGAAAGATATGGAAAAATGGCGGGACTGAAAATAAATAGAGAAAAAACTAAAGTAATAGTTAAAAATCTTAACAGATAAACAAAAAACAATTGTCAGAAAAAACAGAATTACAGATAGTGAAAAAGATTAAATACCTGGGTATATATTTAACAGCAAGATGCTCAACAATAAAAGAAGATAATTACACAAAATTATTGAATCAAATAAAATTGGACTTGGAAAAATGGAAAAATCTGCAACTGTCAATATTAGGAAGAATTGCTACAATGAAAATGAACATATTGCCAAAAATTTTATTTCTATTCCAAACAATTCCCATAAAACTTGAGAATTTTTTTTCGAGATTTAAACTCATTAATTTTGAAATTTGTTTGGCAAGGAAAGAAGGCTAGAATTAAGATGAAAACACTACAAGATGCTAAGGAAAATGGAGGATTCGGACTACTGGAGTGGGCTTTGTATTATCAAGCATCTGTTTTAACATGGGTAAAAGAATGGATAACTCTTAGAAATAAAAGGTTGTTATATTTGGAGGGATTTACAGTTGGAGTGGCATGCTTTTTTATGGTATGGAAAAAATAAGATTCATAAGTATTTCCAAAACCATTATATAAGAAATGCATTGTTAATAGTATGGGAAAAAATAAAAAGTAAATATTTGAAAATTCCAGGGTGGTTGTCAACTATGGAAGCTTTTGTACACCCAAACTTGGTGGACTTTGAAAAAAACTGGACATATAGAGATATTCTAAATTCTGACGGGAATTTAAAAACCAAACAAGAAATGGAAAATCAAGGGATCAACTTGTCATGGTGGGCACATTTACAAATCCAAACTAGATATGAAAAAGACTAGATATGAAAAATTGTATGGATTTTACAAGGAATAGGTGATATTTGATAAGATTTTGTTAACTTCAGATGAGAAACTAATTAAGAAAATGTATAATCTTTTATTAATCTTGGAAATGGAAAGTGAACAAGTGAACAATCCTAGGGATTGGGTGGCATATAAATTTTATTAATAAATAAATAAATAAACAAATTAAAGAAACAATGATAAGATGGAAGAAAAAATTTGGATATAATATAGAATTTAAAAAATGGCAAAATTTATGAGAAAGAAATTATAAATTGACAATGTCAACTTCTTATAAAGAAAATTTATATAAAATGTTTCATAGATGGCACTTGTCACCAGCAAGATTAGCAAAAATGTTTAAAAATATGTCAGATAGATGTTGGAAATGTAAACACAACTCAGGCACGTATTACCATGTTTCGTGGACATGTGATAAAGTAAAGAATTATTGGAAAAAGATACATACTTGGTTAGAAAAGATGTTGGGAGAATATGTAGATTTTAAACCTGAACTTTTTTTATTAGGTATAATGCCAGAAAAGATTAACAAACAAAGCCTATATTTGATTTTACATGTCACAACAGCGGCAATAATAATATTTACGCAATATTGGAAGAATGAAGGAATACCACCAGATGAAGAAATAATCAAAAAAATATTGGAATGCACAGAGATGGATAGATTGATTATGAGACTGAAAGAAAAAGAAGAAACAGAATATTATCAAACTTGGGACTTACTTTACCGATGGTTAGAAGAAAGAATAAAGGATTAGGAATTTAATATGTATTAGTGTACTTAAACTCAGACAGCATGTTGATTGAAAAATTATTATTATATGTATGAAAAAAATGAATAAAATTTTACAAAAAAAAAAGGACTTGAACTCATGGTCTCCCTCTTTCTAGAGTCTAGACTCTAGACTAATGCCTTAAAACACTAGACCAAACTGGCTGCAGGTTTCCTATCTGCACACAAATAGTATCTCACTTCAAATTAACAAAGATCATTTTCCCAAATTTTGCTCTACTCCAGAAGATGGGATTGGGTGGGGATTTTTATTTTAATCAACAAAAGGCAGGTTTAAGTCACCAATGATTTTCCCAATATTTCCCCCTCAATTGGAGCTATTGTGTTGATTTAAGGCAACACAACAGGCAATTCTGTGAGATCCAGTTTGGTGCAATGATTGAAGTACCAGATTATAAACTGAGAAGCCATGAGTTCTAATTCCGAGAAGCCAGCTGGATGAGCACAGGGCTACTCTCTCTCAGTCCTAGGAAACAGGCAGTGCAGTTCTTCTGAAGACTGCAGGAGCTTCTCCAGGAGTCAAAAGCTGGCTCCAAGGCACATACACAGAAAAGGTGATTCTGTATAATAAAACCTAATTAGTTCAAGGTACCATGTAACTGGAGGTAGGTAGGTACTCTTCTATATATTGCGCTAATTTACTACTACATATAAATAGAGGACTATTTACAACAAAGACCATCCTCAATTTAGAGAGAAGCTAAAGTAGAGATCTTGAAGACTACAAAAAGAAATGGAGAGGGAGAGAAGCAGCCGAGTCTAAAGAGGACGGGAAAAGAAAATGAGAGGGCGCTTCCCATCTTTTCCAACTGCGTTCACCTTAATGGAGAAGAGGAGGGCGAACAAGCCAAGGCAGCAGCAATTGCAGCTGGTGAAACTGAAGAGCGACCAGACCACATAATCCTTGACCGCAGGATTAAGGATGGCCTTGGGGTATTGATAGGGACTGCTGGGGCGCGTGACGACCTCGGTCGGGCGAGGCTCCATGGCCAAACCAACCCTCCGCTCACTAACGGCGACCAACTCCGAAACGCGCCAAACGTCAGGGTGGTCGGGCTCACCCTCCGCTGATTGGCCGGGATATCCCTGCGGCTCGTGAACCTATGCGATGCGAAAGTGGGCAGGGCCAGGTTGTGTGCTTTCCTTGCGAGGGGCGCGGAGTTAGTTCTGTCCTTTGCAGAGCGAATTGTAGCGGTGGTTTCGCTCTTTGTACCGCTAATACGGCAGATGTCGGCGCCGCCTCGCTCTTCGAAACCATTTTAAAACTTCTTTAGAGCTACGTTTAGTAAACAAGGGAAAGGTCGGCCCTGATGGTCGTTAACTCCGCCCACTCTTGGGTTAATCTTTTTCTCTAAAAAGAAAAATGTGCTTCTGGAAATCTAGAAGAAAGGATAGTAGAGATAGAAATAAACTTGTCGTTTCATTTTCCCCCTTCTATTTTTATTTTGGTTTTTTAGTAAGAATTCTGCTTCCATAGAAGAGAGAAAATCGGGAATATGGTAAAGTTTATTAAACTTTGGTAACCAAGAGGAACCTTCATTGGATGTTTTTCATGCAGGCGATTATAGCTCAGATTTAAAGCTCCTAAAGCTGTCCTGATACATTTATAATGAAAACATTTCACAATATGATTTCATTGTGATTCAATGGAACTTTCCCCATTTATATTGTAAAATCCTAACTTGTCCCAAATACTGTATTTTCCATTGTCCAATACTTTAAACCTTTCCTTCCTGCATTGGAGGATTCAGCTTCAGTGTCTAACTAACTCCTCAAATGGAATCTATTATTTCAGAGAAAGTTGTTCCGGAAGTCGGGGTTTCTCCTACAGTTAGTAAATTTGGCTTGCAAGTTCCTAATTGATAATGTGGCAGTATTTACGTTGGCACTGGGATATGTACAGCATTTTTGCACTGCTTTTGATTGAAGAAGTCAGTATTCTAAAGTAAATTTTCTTTTTCCCATGGCCTGGAAGGGTATATGAGAGAGTTCTGAGAATTTACCATAGCTTTATTCTATTCTCAGCATAAAGTTTGTTAGAACTGCACCATGAGTTTAAAACATTAAATGAAAATGAATGGGATGTAGACTCTTGAAAGCTCAGTCCAGAGGCAGAGGTTTATAAATGGAGCTTTGGCTGCAGAAATAAATATAGTACATTCCCTCCAATCTTAAGAGTTCTCATTGTTCAAAGCTACACTTGTTCTTTGTATCTGAGAAGCAAATAGACTGTTGCTTTGCATATGTACTTATGACAATGGCCTGTAGTATGCTTCTGATTGAGGCTGTCAGTTTCAAGAGACAGAGAATACACTTCTTTGTTGTTTGGATTTTTTTTTTTTTATTAAACAGAAATTGCATTGGGAGCAGCTGTACAAGCTGATCTCAAACTTCCTGTCACTGCATTCCTTCAAGAGAGTTTCCATAACTCTAGCCTAGAAAATAAAAGGTGGCAACAATTGTCATTTGGTATGCCTTGAAAGCTGAAAACATTTTTAATATATTTTCTGTGCTGCTTTTATTATGGATATGTTCAGATACTTGCAAGGCTAATGAACCAGCTACATGTGGAGTTTTTATTTTGTTAAAAAGAAAGAGGATTGAATTATCTGCCACATTATTTTGCAGTGACAAGTTATTGCATCTGAGAACAGATAACAGTTTTGTTAGGCTGAACAAACCTGCTTTGTAGCTGATAAATGGGTATTTTTAAACACTTATTGATGATTACATGAAATCTGGGAATCACATTTTTTTCACATGTGATGGATTTGGATTAGGTCCATTTCAAGACATGGAATGGTTTTAAATATAGCAGTTAAGAATCTGGTACTGTATTTGGCTTCCTCTTCGCCCCAGGTTATCAGAGCTTTTACTATTCCTAATAGCAGGCCATAGCAAAAGATATTTCCCTGGACTGTAATTTCAGTTGCCCTTTAATACCGGTACTAAACCCATCATATTCCTTGAAATCAAAGCTTCCTCTGATAACAGCTGATTAGGGTTCTATATATGACCCGTGCAATCTGTTTTGCTAGAATTGATTCATATTTATACAATCACAAGTCATGTCTAGTCATACTGTTTATCTTTTAGTTTGAATTTATTCCATAAATTTTCTCTCTATCCAAGTATTACTGTTAACATTTAAGTTTAAAATGTTAAAAAGTTAAAAAGAGCCGAGGTGGCGCAGCAGTTAGAGTGCAGTACTGCAGGCCACTTTAGCTGACTATGTTCAGCAGGTCAGCGGTTCAAATCTCACCGGCTCAAGGTTGACTCAGCCTTCCATCCTTCCGAGGTAGGTAAAATGAGGACCCAGATTGTTGGGGGCAATGTAAATATATATATACATTGCTTACTGGTGTACACCGCTTAGAGAGTGCTTGCACTTAAAGCGGTATATAAGTCTCGTAAATAAATAAATAGATAAAATAAGTGCAATATATATAACTCTGATACCCTGGGGAGAAGAGAAAGCCAAATGCAATACCAGATTCTTAACTGGCAATAAACCTCGTTGAACTCAACAGAACAAAATTGAGAATTTAGAATTAGGCTGCAAAAAAATAAAATTAAGAGAATGCAGATTTGTTTCTCATATCCCATCCTTTAATAAATCTGTCCAAGTTGATGACCATAATTGTGATAGAAAAATTTCCTTTTATTATATGACTTTCTAGCTGAATAAGAAATTCTCTCCAATTAATGTTTTCATAATGTCGACAACATTACCATGTTTTACCACTCTTCCTTATTTAAAATACATATTTATCATAATAATGTAAATTATTTTTTCTCAAAATAACACATTGAAAGTTATGGTGGGCTGAGAGGGAATAACTAGCCCACAATTCAGCCTGGGGAGGGGGGAGTTTCCATAGCTCAGGTCTTTAAGAAACCCAAGGTCTCCTTTTAGCCATGGAAACTATTGAATTAGCAAAATCCAAATAATATAACCAGATGATATGTGGCTATGTGTTCCTATATCACACTACTCCATGACTGATTAAATCAGCCATGATTTATTGAATCAACCCAATTGGCTGGGTCCACATATATTGATGCATAAACTAATCATATAACTGGTTGGATCTGCATAAGATGCTGATCCATAAATATTCACAGTTTGGTTTAGGTTTCTGTCTGAACTCAGTCAATGGCATCAAATGCTCTTGTGGGATCCAGAAGAATTAACTCGTTCCTCCTCTAATGAAAATAAAAGTGAATTATTTTGATTTCTTGTTATCTCCTGATTTAGAAAGGACACATTGGAATGGATCTGCCGTCTCCCTTTTCGTCTTCTCACAGATTTGGTGGGCAGGTAAAAGATCATTTGATGTGAGGAAAGTTGCAGCAAAGTTGTCTGTACAAACTTTGGATATTCGTAAACTATGTATGTATAGCCTCAGAGAACATATGGAAGACTAAACACTTTTATAGTAAGCATGGGGTATTTTTATCATCAGGGCTCACAATAATCCCTGTTCAAATTTTCCAAAAGCTACATTTCAATGCACATTAACATTAGCTTTTCTCTGCCAATACAGATAAGTTGATTTCATGTGATGCATTTCCCTGATACATTAGGAGAAGAGATTGAAAGATCATAATTAAAAGAGAACTTAGAATCTTGTCCCCAGTTGTGAAGAAACAGTCTAAATTAGTAATCTGTCCTGTTTTGAGACAATAATTCAACTCTTTTTTTCCTACAGAAGAGAGGTCAACATACTTCTTCCTTGGCTGAAAATCTAATTAAAGTTTAACTTTTGTTAACTATGGCACACACTATCATATATATCAGCTGTCAACTGATGACTGTCAAATTCCAGGAAAAATAAGAAGACTGGTAAACAACTTTTAAATTTAGTACTACTTCTCTTCCAATGCGAATTGCTTAATATTGCCTTTTTCTTCATTAGTCAGCCATTTTGCTGTATATATTGCAAAAGCTTATTTACTGTAATTCAGGCTTGGGATAATCAAATGTTTTAAATTGAAGTACAATACGTGCTTGAGTTTCCTTTTAGTACATGATGAAGTCCAACATTTCTTTTAATAAGTAATTGTTCTACTACTATTAAGAGTGGTTTTTTACTTATGCTGATTGGAAATAGAAGATGGGGGTTGAGAAGATACCGAGAAAATCAAGACTGTCCAAATTATAGGTGAGGCTAAAATCTTTACGGTTATTGAGTTATGAACAACAAGCAAGCTCAGATTAATTCTTCTAGCCCTGTTTCTGAACGTATTTTTTAGCTCTTTCAGGGGTATGTTTGATGTTATTTGTTTTTAAAAAATCATTCTCTGCTCATACAATATATAAAGAACACAGTCTAATAATATTAGTGCACAATATAATTATGTTTTGTTGATAGCCAAATGGGGTTGATTCAACTCTGTAGGGCCTCTACCTTTCCTTTTTCTGCCCTTTCTTATAACTGAAACCAGCGTAAAGTAAGTACAATAACTTTTCCCCCCACAGCTTTATCTCTGAGCAAAGCAAATATACTATATCCATTAGTGATTCCCAAGAAAGAGAAACTGAAAGCCAGCATGATGGGTAGAAGTCTTAATAAAGGCAAATACTTACAGGAATAAACAACAGGTATGTGCACTGTGTTCTGATGTCTGTGCCAAGGGGCTGGTTCTGTAACCATCATGTTGAACCAATTGTGTCGTACATTTGTGGTTTCATTAAAAACTTCCCGCAGTTGTCGTTCATATTGTCTTTTCACCTAAAGTGAAACGGACACTCTGCTTTCCCCCAGCTTTCCCCCATACCCATCTCACTTTACACAAGAAGTTGTATAACACCTAATTTAGTAGTTATATCCTATTTAGTGTTTTCTGGGGAAATATATTGTACTGTTATTATACACATGGAATTGCAACCTACCTTATGTATTATTATCAATAAGATAGAACTGGATCTTTTCTTTTATGAAATTGGTTTCTGTTATTGAATACACAAATTTATTTAGCTCGTTATTGGAGATTGCATCATTTCTTGCCCCATCAGCCACTCGAACAAACAGTAAATAGATAGTAAAGGAGACTTCATATTTCCCCCCTAAATTTCTGGCTTTTACCTGGTCTTTGTTAGTAAATCGAGTCTCTATGTTTAAGAGTCTAGGGAACATCATTTTGACTTCTTGTCTTTTGAGATGCAATTTAGGTAAAACTGGGTTATTCTTTGTCCTGGGTATATTTTAATACAAATAGTACGTTTAGTGAATGCCTCATTTAGCAATCTTTCACTGTAATGATTGTGATAAAAAAATAATTTTTCAGCCAATCCTTGCATTTACACCTTCACAGGTTTGTAAAACAAAGAAAAGCTGATGTAAAATCGTAAGCAGTTTCACTTAGTGATCGCTTTGCTTAACTACCAAGTCGGAGGTCCCAATTGTGATCACCAAATGAAGACCACTATAAATCTATACACTGATGTTAATGTTATTTGTATAAGCACTAGAAAAATATTTACATTTAACTTTGTATGTGTTGAAAGTACTAAGAATTATATTTATTTAATGTTGGCAAAAGGAAAACACTATTGGAAGAAGAGAAGATCAAGAAAATGTATCACTAAGTAGTATGTTGATTATGGAATCAAAGAAACTAATTATTATTGATTGTTGTTAAATATATGAACCCAGACAACACATTGTTTACCAAGTACTAAAGATGATTTCCATGACATCAGCGCTGATACATCTGCCATGGCAAGGTATCTGAAAGATATTTGGTGTGGACCAATATCTAAAGTGTTAAATTGTGACCATTACCCCAGCAATCCCATCCAATCGCCTCCTGAGAAATATTTGTTTAGAAGAAGCCTTGTTGCCGGGAGGGGGAGGATGAGCATTTAATTATGGTTGTTGGGTCTTCTAAGGCAATGGTCTCCAACCTTTCTCGCTCGGTGAAGGCGACAGTGATGGGTTTGGGGGGGGGAGGAGTTAGTTTTGCACATGTGCACTTGCCCACCATTTCCATGGCCCAGTTTCGAACAGGCTGTGGCCTGGCCATGGACCAGGGGTTGGGGACCTCTATTGTAAGGTGTAGAGGAAATGGCCAACTATGAGCCATCTCCAGGATACTATGGAAATGCCATCAGATGGTAGCTGGAACATAATAATGTGCAGGTACTTCAGATTAACAGCAGTCTTATAACAGAAGTACATTTTATAAGCTCACGTTCACTGTAATGAGTTATAGCGCTTTAAAAAAAACCTACAAGCATGATCAAGCCCATACAATTTATTTGAAAAATGAATAATTATTTTATAATATACCATAAGTGGCTCTAAAGGCATTTTCTATTACAAAAGTCATAGAAAAATATAGAAACCCACAGAGAGAGTGATTCTTTCCCCCAGGTTATAACATGGTCCTTCCAGATCAGTAACATTACATAGAAGAAAAAACTGTCTGAGAATAACCAGTAGAAAAATAAGCCAGCAGTGCCAAATAGGCAGCAAAGCCATGTGTTATATTTAAGAAGCAACCTGACATCACACATAAGTGATGCAATTATACATTCTAACTCTTGAGGTGGACCTTGACCACTTCCGGCTTGGCAATGGCAAGAGAACTATTGTTGCAACTGCTGTACGATACTAGTTTCTCAAAATAAGGGCTGTTTTCAAGCCAACAACACATTAGGATTAGGGGTGGAGGCAGAAGGCCACTCACCAAGATATAGGAGCAGAAGCTCTTGTATCAATGACAGGAGGTGGACAGTTTTCAAAAGGGAATTACACTGGTGCATGGTTCAGTGAGGGTAATTATTAGACACCACTACTACAACGATGACGATGACAAGAACAACAGCCAGGATGTTCAGCAGGAGGGCAACAAGGTTCAGGCATCTGGCAGTAGAGCCGTAGCTGGCAGCAGTGTTGTAGTCCCCAATCACTTTGCGATCTCTAGCCTGTTAGGAGAGAAGAAAGAAAAGATCCATTACTAGAAGCAACCCATACAAGAACTACTGTCATCCTCCTGAGCTTCAATTATGGCACCAAAATATTCTCTGCAAAACAGCAGAAATGCATGCATGAATGCCATGTTGATGTCATCGGGGAAACAAGAACAGGCCAAAACATCTCACTTGCAAAGATGAGACATGCAGAACAAAACGTGGCTGAACCATGCAATATTGTTCTCTACGTGAACTATGTTTTCTAGGAGACAACACATTTTTGTCTTTACCTTACAGTGCTCCAGAAATGTAATTGGAGTTAAGTTGCACGGCCCCCATTACTATTCCCCACTTTCAGGAAACAGCCTGTTTAGGTTACATATAGGTATTCTTGATTTATAACCACAATTGAGCCCAAATTTTCCATTGCTAAGCAAGATAGTTGTTAGATCAGTTCTGCCCCATTTTATAATCTTTGTAGTCATAGTTGTTAAGTGAATCACTACAGCTGTTAAGTCAGTAACATGGTTAAGTGAATCTGGCTTCTCCATTGACTTTGCTTGTCAGAAGGTTGCAAAGAATCATCACATGACCCTGGGACACTGCAACCATCATAATATACATGCCAGTTGCCAAGCATCCGAATTTTGATCAGGTGATCACAGGGAAGCTGCAATAATCCTAAATGTAAAAAAAACAGTCATAAGTCACCTTTTTCAGTGTTGTAACTTTAAAGGGTTATTAAACAAATGGTTGTAATTTAAGGCTTACCCTTATTAGCTTAACACTAACAGTACAATTGTGTCCACAGTAGTCTACACTGAGGAGTAGCAAATTTAGAAATACAAAAATTCAAAGAAGCATCACACCCCTATCTTATGTTTTGGGAGACTATTCATACAAGATCTCTTTAAGAATATGAGTTTTTCACTCTATTCCTATGTAAGTTTCCTCAGATGTAGGGGAATTAGCTTAATTTTTATTTCAATTGAGCAGTGCACTCAGCTGCAGCTTTAAGAGGAAGGTTACTCCCTTTGAAGTGAAATTTCTTTTTCCATCCATTGCATTTTAAATCTGGTGCTTCAGAAAACATGAATTTTAGATGCAAAAGCAGTAACTGAAAATTAAGAAAGAATTTCAGTTGCCCAACTGGCTGTTCAATTATCATGCAGCACACTTTCATATGTGAATTAATCTAGCCTTTGGTTAGAAATCTCTGCACTGGATCAGACATCTCGTTTTCCTACCAGTGAGTTATTTATAAATATTTCTGTGTAATTATCTAAATTGGTTTGTTGATGTTGTGTTTTATGGGTTATGTCTTAAGTTACATTCGAAACAAAGTGCAGAAAATTATAACGAATTGAAAGATTAATTCACATCAGGAAATATGCAGCATAACTACTGGCAGTGTGGACAGCTTGAATTTTTCAGCAATATCCATGGACAAGCTCATGAGACAAAGCTTAACAGAATGCATGAATTCAACTGCACATATGGGCAAAATAACTGGGATGCTTGGTGATGATTCACAGAGCAGCTCCATCAGATGCCAAGCATAGTAACAGATACCATGTTCTCTGGCTGGGCACCCTACACACCCAACATAGAAAACTGAACTAAGGACAGAATGCACAAAAATGCAAATACTGTATTTACTCTTCAGTATTTGCAGAAAGGTTTGGCAGTCTTAGAAAGCAAAAGCAATGTTTACTCAACATCACGTCAGAATTTGTTTCATCATAGATTCCTGAATAAACCATAACTAGCCAGGTTCATATAACACTCAGCTCAACATTCAGTACAATATAGTTCTCTGTTGCCCTCAATCAAAGATGTACAGTTCTCTGAAAGCCAAGAGTCTGACTAAACTGTACAAGATGGCAGGATGTGTAATATGCTACTCAAGATTCTTTCATTCCTTAATTCTTTTAAGATTAAGGCTGCATCTTAACAAATGCAGCCTCAGGTGTTAACTTGCCTGCGTAAGTGCCACAGGGTGTTACAAACATGTAGCTTCATACCAGCACCCAGATCATTCTTTTTAAGGGCATCATCTGCCATCCCATGAAATATTGAATCATGAAATAATAAACATGCATGTTCAAGCACAGCACCAGGCTAGAAGCCAGGAGACTAAGTAGCAGTCCTGCCTTAGGCTTGAAAGCCAGCCGAGTGCGCAATCACTCTCTCTTTCAGCTCAATCCTCCTCACAAGAGGGTTGTAGAGAAAATAGGAGAAGGAAGGAGTATTAGGTATGTTCACTGCCTCAACTTATACAATTATTAAAGATGGAATAAAAATAAAGAAAAGTACCTTACAACATGTGACTATAACGATTTGTAAATCCAGCCCATGAGGAGAAGAAATTATAGAGTAGTAAAGTATCCTCTAATCTAAACGTCTCTTTAAACAATTAAAAAGCGGGGAGGGGGGGAAGAGAAAGCAGACCTTCCTTGCAGAATTTACGTTGCATAGGGCAATCCCGCTGATTTCCCTCTCTGGACTATCCGGCTTTAGTTCTCTAGTTCAAGGTTGCTTGAATAGAGATATTGGACTATCTTAAACCAAGTCACTCCCAGCCACAGCAAGCAATTTCCTTCTTCCAACGCTTTAGGCTCTAAAGGAGGAAAATCAAGTCACGAATCCGGGACGTGGAACGGCCTTAATGACAAGGTAATGAATGGCCTTAATGAACCTAGTGCTTATCACGAAATCCCACGAAAGTTCGGAGTACCGATAGTTAGGATCGAGTTCTTAGGCCTGTTAACTTTAAAACGCAAGCGTCCCATCGGAACCTCGTTTTCCCAAAATACGCCCCCTGGAACGAGCGAGAAGGGCGGAGAAGCGGAAAATACACAGAAAACACCCAGCGCATCTTCTCACCTTAACGGAAAAAAACAAGGCCAAAAACCCAAGGCAGAAAATGTTTAAGTATAAGGTGGTGCAGAGGGACCAAAGGATATGGTCGCGGGGCGGCTCCTGTGGTATACGGATCACGGTGGCCCCAGCCGGCACTCCGGGAGCCTCGAGTGTTTCCATATCATGCTGCTCCTTCAGCTGCTCGTAATTCGGCAAGCCTGCCTGGTCCTGCAGCGAGTAGGAGAACTGGACGGCGCTCGCCATTTTTTCGAGAGGGAGGAAGCGGACGACCACAAGGCTCTGATAGCCTACAGATGGGATTGAGCAATTTTCCCCTGCACAGAAGTTGGAGGCGGGAGTTTATGTGCTGTTGGCGCCAGGAAAGGCGGTCCTGTTGGAGAATCGAAAGTTGGTTCCTCGGGGTATTTGTCGGAAGAAATGATTTTAAGTTTCGGAATGTGTGCTTAAGGAGTATGGCCATTTTTTTGGGAAGATGAAATTCTATTTAGAGGAACAGCATAACTTTCGTAATACTGTGGACTCAACAAAGAATTTCATGTAACAGTTAATACGATCTGGCCCTAAAAATTGCTACTTTGCGCACAGATTTAACCGTGATCATGGGTCAGGCAATGTGCTCGAACACATAAACCACTATTTACCAATCAAAGTGGGATCTTGACATTTCTTTACATTGAATGTATGATTTCCTGGTCTGTGATTTTATCTGTCCAAAGCCACTCGTTATAACACGTGGCTTAGCAATGTGGAAAGGCAATTGTGCCTTAACCTGTTGTGGTTAATCAAAAGCCTCCTGTGGTTTACCCTTATGTTTAGATAAATTCACCTGATTACAGTCAAAAATATTAAAGATACTGGACACTTGACTTAAGGCAAAAGGAGTCCCCCAACAAAGGGGCTTATTTCATTTCCCAAAATGTGAAACTATAGTCAATATCTTATTTAAGGCTTTGCTATGTTCGTGTATAGGAGAAAGAGTAGTCAGGCTGTCTCTTGTCAATCTATGGTAGTTAATGATAACTGTATCTGATTTTTCTTCTAATAATCTAAACGGTTCCTTCCACAAACCCATCTATTTGTCACTTCCCTCCTCTTAGATTGCTCTCTTTTCTCTTTAGATGCTGGTTATTTCCATTCTTTTGCAGTTTTCCTATGAGCATTTATTAATAAGGTGACCAACCGTCCTCCTTTAGGGAGGACAGTCCTTCTTTTGTAAGTTCTATCCTCCCTCAAAAAGTGTCCTCCTACATGTCCTCCTTTTTGATATTTGAAGACTAATCTGCAGGGCTTTTTTTTCTCATAGAATGCTCAGAACTGCGTTCCGGCAACTTTTTTTGATGGTTTTTTTTTCAACTTTTGCATGAATTGCTGCTGAGCAGGCCAAAACACCAGGCTGGCAAACTTTGCATATGCAAGTTGTCTGCAGCGAAGGCAAATTGGTAGGAACTTTGCACCCCTCCCTGCTACCCAACTACACCATCTTCTAATTAGTTCCATAGATACCTGGAGGAGACTGAAGCGGTAAGTTTCTCTTGATCTTCAACTCTGCTAAGACAATAATGGCTGCGGGCACAAGAGGCAGGGGCAGCAGTGGTGCTGCGGACGGGGGTGTGAGGGGCGGAAGGGGCTGGCTGCCCCCCGTGTGTGGGGCCCTCTCTACACAGGGCTGCGCAGGGTGAGCGGTGGTGTTGGTGGGGCGGCTGCAGGCAGGGTGTGTTGACAATGGGCTGCCCCCCGGAGCTGGCGCGGCTGGTGCTTTGGGAGCCATGGGACCCGCTCTACACGGTGGGGCAGCAGTGCTGGCAGGGCGGCTGTGGGTGGGGGCATGGTGGGCGGTTGACCTTCCATGGGCCGGGCCAGCTTTTACGATATTTTTTCTTCAATTTATTTGTGTCCTCCTTTTCATTGTAAAAAAGTTGATCACATTAATTTATAACATGAGACAAGTATTGTATTGTGGCATAATATATGTTCAAAGGCTTTATATCATTTTTCAGCAATCAACAGTATAGCCTGATTAACCTTTTAAGGTTTTCTGTTACAATCAAGTATGGTCTAAGTCTCACAGAGTTCAAGCCGGCTTTCATAACAATCAGAGCAGACTTTAGCTTTGCAGTCACTATACACTATGCTTAAAAGGAGTAATAACTTATTACAAAAGGCTAACATAGAAAATACACTTTATAGTCCCATTTTTATGATTGGAAAGTGTAAGGGTGGTAAAGGGTGGTAAATAATCATTTCATCCATGTACCAGACAGCCTCAGTAGAGAGTCTTAATTGCTGCTACAAAAATAGCTGAATTTAAACAGAAGAAGCCTTTTTACATTTTTCTGTGTATGCAACTTCACAAAAAAAAAAAAAAAAAAAAACCCATCCTAGAAGAAGATTATGTCAAACCAATTTGGTATTCTGTCCACAAAAAAGCTACGCTGGTTTCCACAAAGTCACTAAAATTGACCTCAACTTGAAAACTTTCCTTCCTTATATATTATTAACTACATTCCATGCTCCACTGAAAGGAAATGTTAGGCAGGTTTCTACAGCAATAGAACAGCTATGGAAACATCAAGAAGCTAATTGGCAGAAGCTGAGGCAAATAAACATAAGTGAGGGATTAAGGCCACAGGACATAGAAGGAAAACCATGATTGCATGCTTGCATTAGTCCTTGGTTACCATTTCTGGTCTACCTCCCCGCCCTTTTCATTACTAATACTGATTTTATTTTCTATTAATGTGGAATAATTAACAATCACTAGAATAATGATGTGTCTGCATAATTACTGGAATAGTGCTGTGTTAGTAATATGTGACTAACCTAATTGGACTTGGATACAATGTATGTAGCAAACTCTCTCCATTGAGAAACAAATCTAATGTATTACAATGTGTATTATAATGTGTATTCCTTTGTTCCTGAGAAAGGGAAAGTATAAAATTGAAGTCTGAACCCGCCCTCAGGGTTCACAATTGCTTGTCGCTATAGTTTCTGAACCTGCGCAATAAATCTCTCTGTTAAAACCCTCGGGAATTCGTAAGAGTCCTTCCGTTTTCCACAAGATTTATGGCGACTCCGCCGGGACTCTTAGGAAGAGGCTGTTGACCTTCCAGACAGACTCCCTGGTGGGTAGCCCCTCTTCTAACGACGACTCCTCCAAGCCGGCTCCGTGGCCTTTGTCTACAGGGAGACCTCGATGGGATGGGAGGGGAACTCACCCACCAGCGAAGCACTCCAGTCAAGGATCCACTGAGGGTAGCAGATGGGTCTTTAGTCTGTGGAAGGGTCTGGAACACCTGCAGGCAAGTATTATAAAAGGGGATACCTGATCCTGTTTGGATCGGAAGAGGGGATTGATAACCCCCTAGAAGACAAGGTGGCGTCCTTAAGACTTCAATAGGTAGGATTGTGTGAGTGGTTAAACCATCACATTTCCTGAAGAGTGACTGTTGGAACATCCGGCACTTCAGGTCGGTGGTAGTGTGTTAGGGAGAAATGGGAGGAAACCAGACTAAGAAGGGCGTTGGTCAGATACTGCTTCAGTGTATATTAGGAAATTTCAAAAAGGATTTTTCTAGGGATTATGGGGACCCATGACCAAATCCAGCCATGTTAAAAAGATTCTGTGAATCTGAATGGACCATCTTTGGCATAGGGTGGCCCAAAGAGGGATCGGCGAATCCCAAACTCATGGCACAGGTTCATCAAATTGTGACTGGAAGTGGTCATTGGGACCAATTTTCCTATATAGACCAATGGCAGATCAATATTGAAGAAAAGCCTCGATGGTTAGCAAAGTGTCAGATAAAATGTGCTAAAATATATTTGGCAAACCAAAAAGCCAAACCTCAGACAAAAGCTAAGATTTTGAGTCAGGAAGAAAGGGAGGAAGTTGCCAGGCCCCCACCCTATATTCCTAGAAGAGAAGAAGAGAGGATATATCAGCAAATTCCACCCCCTCCGGTTGAAAGAAATGAGGTCCACCTTCAACCAGAAGCTGATGTGAAAAGAAAGATAAAAAAAGATAAAACTGTTCAGAAGAAAGATCAAGACTTGGATAGCGATGACAGCAAAACATCAGTTTCTAGTCAAACTAGAAGTAAAACGAGGGTAAAAACAGAAGAAATGATAGCCCCTCTAAGAGAAGTTTTGGTCCCTGGACCAAACAACACCAATATTCTGATACTCCAGTATGTTCCCTTTACAACCACTGATCTACTCAATTGGCGTTGGCAATATGGACCATTTTCAGAAAAACCTCAAGAAATAATAGACCTATTCTCCACCATTATTCAGACGCATAACCCCACATGGGATGATATGCAACAATTTATTTCTACTTTACTGGATATGGAGGGGGAGAGAGAAATATAGGTTAGGAAAATTAAAAGTACTTGCCCGCCGACACCCCGATGGGGGAGCGAATTATCAGGCAAACAGAGATACCGAAGCAGTAGAAGAAAGACCAGACTGGAATGCTAACGATGGACAACACCAAACTTTGTTGCAGAATTATCGGCTTTTGTGTTTAGAAGCCCTGAGAGAAGCAGCAATTCGTCCAGTTAATTGTGCTGCAGTAACTAGCATTTGGCAAGATAAAAATGAATCACCAACTGCTTTTCTAGCCGACTGATAGAAGCTTATAGAGTAAACACAGGTCTTGATATGGAGGTGGCACAAAATCGCCCACTCCTGATTGAAAGATTTATCACCCAAAGTGCCCCAGACATAAAGAAAAAGTTACAACGCACAGAAGGGGCATTAGGGAAGAATATAGCAGAAATCATGGAAATAGCTCAGAAAGTGTTCCGTAACCGTGAAAAGGAAGAAGAACGTAAGTCAGATCAGAAAGAAAAAAAGCTTGAAATGTTAGCAGTGGCCTTGGGGGGATGCATATTGGACCCAACCAATGTGCCATCTGTAAACAGGAAGGACACTGGCAAAAGAAATGCCCCCAGAGGAATGGCCAACCTAGGGGACAATCTTGCCAGTATAGAAGAGGACGAGGAAGAGGATTTAGAGGGACTTTCCAAGGAAGTTGTAGGAGAAGCTTCAGGGGAAGAGGGTATCCAGCCTATCCCAGTCAGACAGAAGAAAGAGAAGAAAACATGATCTGCTTAGCTGACATGGAATGGAGAGACTGAAGAGGACAGGGTTCTATGGTCCCAATCTGTCCTCCCACCCCCGGAGCCCATTGTTAAAATACGGGTGGGAGGACAGATTGTCCCAATGTTAGTTGACACAGGAGTCACCAGATCGGTCCTAAATAAATCTATTAGCAAGCAATCAAACCAGACCATCCAAATTCAGGGAGT